CTAAACTCATTGCCAAAGTTAAAGTAAATAATAATCAGGCAGAGAAGTCTGGGTTTGTAGAAGATAGTTGCAGATATTAACAGCTTAGCATTATCAAGCATAATTTTGTTCAACAAGTGATAGCAGAAATGTATGTAAATGTTTTAAAAGAAGATAAAGCAAGTGTATGTCCACTGTGACCTGTAGCAAACTTTAAGAAGATCTGCTTCCATTCTGCTACCCACCTCAGATTCCTGTCTTTCCTGGAGTGTTTCTATTCCATTCTGGTCCAGTGCATGTTCTTGTGTCTCTGCTTCAACATCTGTATTAGCCTGTCCATTGGGCTTTTCATTCTCCCATTTTGCAAAGCCTTTGTTCTTTCCAGCTTTGCTGTGGAACTTGGACTTCATTTTAGGGAAGGTATGGGACCCTGAGTCACTCCAGCCAGGCTCATGCCACAGTGGGTCTGTCTGGGTTGCTTGACTGGTGGTAGCCCGCTGCAGACGGACAGAAATCTTCCGAGAGGAGCCAGTCACTAGGGTTATGGCTCTTCCATCCAGGTCCTGATGTCCTGTAGCAACACTGGGAAACTCAAATACTTCATCTTGTACTAGAAGAGAGAGATGGGAGTAATTTATTTGCAATATGCCACTTCAGTATCTTTTATGAGCTGAGACTTTTTCAAGGGGAACTCCTATATCTCATTCCAACTCTTCATAGTCTATTCAACTTCTGTAGTCAGATTTTGCAACCCTTCCTCATGCTGAGTAACACCTTATTTTCTGGGTAGCCAGACTGGGAGAGGGTTAGTCTTTGACTAAGCTGCTCCTCTCTGTGAGAAAGTGTGACATGATCAGGCCCTTCTAGAGTGAAATGAAGAAGGCAGGGCTGGGAGGGGGTCAGGATGGGGTGTCACTTCGGAGCAGGAAGGCATGGAGGAGTTCTGGCTGACTTAGCCAACATTTCCCTTGGAGCATGTGGGACTGGTGGTTCTACCTACCATGATTGGAAAGTATGGCTCTTGGCCCTGGGCCAGCTCCAAATTGAAGTAGATGCTAGACAGGCTGTGCCTATATACTGTTTGGATCACAGTAGCATTTAGAGACTGCTGCTGGCCTTCTCCTTACTTGCATGTGCATGGGGAGGCCAAGGCTGGGATAAGGCTGTGGAGGTGTCCCGCCTTCCTCAACTCTTGGCAACACAGGTTGTCTGGCCCAAGGAGGGCTGAAATTTTGCTGCATCCCTTGTTATTCGTTCGGGTGCTCAGAACCTCAAACAGGCATCACTGTATCATTTAACTCTAAAAATAAGTAAATAAATGCTGCACCCTTTCAAATGGTGACAGGATTATTGGAGCAGAGCTTGTGGAGACCAACTCTACTCACAATGCAGCCTAGTCCCTTGAGTGAGGGGCGTATTCATCAAAGGTCTTGCTGTAGCTGCAAACTGCTGGAGGCTGTTCTGAGGAATTGTCGGAGTCCCTTCAGACATGCAAGAAGCTGCTCATCGTATTTAGAGGTCAGGCTGTTTGGACATTTAGGACTTGTTTACAGTGTGTTGGAGACTCCTGAGCATAATGGAGGGGTGGGGTGGGGCAGGGGCACAAGCACTTCTATATTTGCAGGCTCCAAACCTAGAAGTATGGTAGTGAGGCTAGCTGGTCTCCAGTGGACCTAACAGCAGCCATTTGGGGCAAGGGTAGGGTTGCCTCATTGGTGAGCTTCCATGTTTGGAGCATGCTTGTAGATTCAAGTGGGTTGTCTCTACCTCAGCAGTGGTAGAGACAACCAGGTGTACAGACAAGCCCTTGTATGTCACCATCTATTTCAAACGAGCATAACACAACAATAAAGGGTTTTTTTTACCTGGAGGCAGAGAGGGACTGCTAGGCAAAGACCCGTGGTTACTGCCTGTGGAGGTTCCTCTAGAAAATTTCTTGCAGGCGAGCACAAGCAGGTCCCTGCACTGCTTATGGCAGTTGGCACCACAGTCTGTAAGAGATTGCCAAAATGTGGCATGTTATCTGTAGCCACCTGATAATGCCAAAGGTCTGTGAATGAGCTGACATGGGCAGAAAAGAGTTCAATGGGGTTAGGAAGTGAGGAGCTATGACAGGGACAGTTTCTGTGGCAGCTGACCCTCAGCAGAACTCAGCAGGGCAGCAGGAAAAGAAAATCGGTCAAAATAATACATTTTTAGTGGCATCAGAAAGTCTTATTGAGACAAGAGGCTGAGTCTGTAGCTACTGGGTGACACATGGATCCAAGTATTAGTCTATGCTGAGCAGGTCACTGATTTCAAGGACTGTACACCACTGGGCCAGTCTTCAAAAGTGGATAGTTGGGGTCTGTAGCTTGGAGTGTCACAGTGGGCATTTTAGGGAGCTTTCACTGATGGTGTAAGCAAGGCCAGCTTGGAGATACTGCTCTTTTCATACTCTGAGCCTGGCAGGGAGCCAGTGAAAGTATTTTTACATTGTTAGCACTTCTAGGACTGCAGCTGCACATACCCAAGCCAGATTTAACCTGGACATGGAGGTCATTGTGGCCTGCAAAACACTCCCATGGCTGTGCTGAGCTCCATGCTGCTGTGCCTACACTATAAGTGGAGGCTAGCTCTGGTGTGTCCATGATTTGCATGCATAATACTGGTTGCAGTGAAGGCAATGCCTCCAGAAGAAGCTAATTAAAGGCTGGTGTTTTCATAGGAGCCCAAAGAAGATCCCATCTTCCACTCTCTTATGCTCCACTGGAAATCTCAGTCTTCTCTACTGTGCATCTCTAACAACATATTTTCTGCCATAAAAGAAACATTGCTGGATAGCACTTGTATGGCTCACTGTCCAAGTACAGTTCTGTTTGGAGAGGTGACTCTGAAGATGTCATTATAGAGCTCTATGTATTTTCCAGTGTGGTGGCTCTCAAATCCAATCCATTCATTTGATTAATACAAAAGTAAGTGCCTTCCTCTCTTGTAGTTATTTTCCCTAAATAGGCAAAATGAAGTGACAGGCCCTGTATGGAGGTGGTTAATGTTCCCTAATGCCCATTAAGCAGAAGGCCCTTAGCTTGGGAGTTGAGGAAAACAGACTTGGGCAGGCAACTCCTCATGCTGGCACCCAGTCAAAAACTTATAAATGGAAAGAAAACACTTGCTCCAAGCTTGGAATAAGAGGTGGAAAACCAACCCTCTTCCTAACAGATTATGGATCAGCAGGTGCCTGCATGGGATGGATGGTTTTTATAACGGCTGCCCAGGAGATTCAGTTTGGGCTCTGAGAACAAAGCTGAACACTCTCATGGGTATGATCCATCACCTGCAAAGCTGGCCTTGCAAAGGAGCACATTTCACCTTAACTATGTCTCAGCCAACTAATGTTACAGGGGATGATGCAAGAACAAGAGGGAGTTCAGCTTGGTTTTCAGTTCCTAAATTGATTTGCAGGACAGCAGTTGCAACACCTCCCCAGATTACTAGTAAAAGAGGTAGTTTGTAGTTTACCCTTATAGCACTGCTTTGAGAGTGGTTGGGGATGGGAGAGAAGAGCTAAAAACTCCTTTCCTTGCATGGCCTAACAATATCCAGACATGCTCGAAATGATGGGACCCCTGGGATTATATAGGCTGTGCCATGGATGCTCCCACATCCTGGGAGGAGCAGAGATTTAGACAGAAGCCTGGTTCCCTTAAACCTGCAGGACAACAGGAATGCAGAATGCTGTAAATTATTCCTCCTTCCGGTATCACTAGGAGGCTTTGGAAGGCTCTGTGGCTTTCTGGAGAAACAGAGCCTGCATAGAGATAGGACCCTATAGCTCCCAAAGTGAGGATGTCAGTGCTGGAAATCAGTAATATGAAGTAATGGTGGAATGCCGCAGTACCATTATTCAGGGTCTCTTACCAGAGAACTGTACTTGCTTGTTGAAGCCATTCAGTGCACAGTGTAACACCTACTGGTTTGTGAAACATAAATGATTCATAGGTTTGAAGGCCAGAAAGGACCATTGTGGTTAGCTCATATGATCCCCTGCTTCACACAGCAGAAATGCTGTACAATTAGGAAAGTAAAATGTCTCAGGAAAGCATTGGATTTGGCAGAGATATAAGAGCTCTGAGATTTGGGGATTTTTAAATAATTTTGTTGGAGGGGAAAGAACCCTCGACATGAGAGACTGGACCACCTAAGGATGAGGCAGTTTCTTATCAGTGTGGTACACAGCTCATTCTTGCTGTTGCAGTCACTTTTCAATTTAGGGCCCAAGGGGCTGGAGGAAGATAAAGTACCAGCAGAACACATGCATCAGGGGACTCCGAGATACGTCCCCATGGAACTGCAGAATCTCTGGCATTCCT